AAATTTTATTGGAAGATAATGAAATTGTTGAAACTGTATGATTAAATTTAATGCAAATTAAATCTAAGGGTTTATTATACTGAGTTATGATTATAATTATAAATAGAAATCTAATTAAGTAATATTATAATTAAAATATTAATATTAGTATTTTAATAATTAATAAATATATTAATTAATATTTTATTTTATTTATCCTTTAAACTATAGAACAGACAAATTTATCTGCAAATATAAAAAAGTATTAATTTTTTAATAAAATATAAAATATTGAATGTTAAAATATAATTTAGTATATATTTTATTAACTTTATTTTAAGTTTATTAAAATGTTTTTTAAATATTCAATTTTTAAAATTAAGTTTTTAAAAAATTTATTATAATAATTTTTTAAAATTTTTCTTAAAATTCATATATTTGTGAACTAATTAAATCACTTTACTATTAATAAAAGTCAAAATTTCTTAATAAATTATAAAAATTGTAATAATTAAAGTTATTTTTCATGATAAATTTTATAATATTCTATTATGATTATAAGATTGTCAAAGGTCAAAGATAAAATCTTTTAATTTAAAAATTTTTAAAAATTACAAATTTTTAGCTTATAACCTTAAATTATTATTATATAATTAATTAATTATTAAAAAATAAAGTTACTATAATATTATATATATTTATAAAATTAATTTAAAAAAATATTTTTTAAATTTTTAATTTTTCATAAAAATAAATCATAAGCAGCTGCAAAATCCTACGGTTTAAGGGATAATAAATTTATTTATTAAGAAAATTTTAATTTATTTAAGTTAATAAAGTTTTTTAAATTACGATAATAATAATTAATTTATCAATCGTTGAAATTGGTGTGATAATTAACTTCGGCGGGGGAGTGACTATGTAGAGAGTGACGATATAGGGGGATTTAAATTAGAATTCATTCTTTCAAATGCATAAAAAATCTTGTATCGAATAATTGAATATTTAAATTATATTGATCATAACTATCTTGACCTTTCATTACTATCAATTCTCCATGATGCAACATTAAATAAATATGCATAGAATATATTTTCAAAATTCGCATAATCAATTTTCTGAAATTTTATCAGGTATTTTTTATTAGTCAACGCTTAGAAATTTGTATTCCATTAAAATTTCCACCCATTCGATATAAATTAATTTACCAAAGAATCATATTTTTATTGTCACTCAAATAATTCACCTTTACATGACAGTTCTACATCTACAACAGTGAGATCCTTTCTATTGTTAGCCAAGTGTAAGTGTCAAACCCTACTTTGAACGGTAGGAAGAATATAATAATAAGGGTTTAACAATGTCGGTTTGTAAGTAAAACAATGTGTTGTGAATGTACCTACCAAAACAGCTTGCATAAATTATGAGGAAATTCCAAATATAGTAAATCTGAATAGAAGAATTTCCTCACACGACAGTGACAGGAATTTCCCACAGGTTATTCTTGGTTGGTCATCCATTCAAATCGAAGTTCCAACGAACAGAATGTTTTTCATCTAATCCATTTGTCGAAATCATGTTGAAAACGTAATAATCTTAAATTGTATGCACAGTTAGATTAAATTGTACATGCGTTCGTTTTTAGATACATCCTGTCATAAATTTGTCTCGTAACCTTTTGAGATGCAAAATTTTTTTTTTAAAAAAAAATTTTCTATCATTTGAATAAAATTAATTTGATACTTACCCACCGTGCGGGAACTTGGAATTTGGCAATTGAGCACCTATTACCGATTATGATCGGAAATGTTAAGCAAAAAAGCTAAACGAAGCGTCAATGGTTATATTATACCATTGTTCTGTTTATAGCTATTACCACCACTAAAAAATTAGTCGAATTCTTAACAGCGAAAATTTCTGTTTTATTGAAGAAGGTGTTATAAAAAAGATTTTATCAAACGATATAATAACGCATCTATTGCAGGTATCTAACTTCAGCCCTAATACATGCATAAGATATATTATCTTTATGATATACACCGCTCTGATACGTAATAAAAATAATTTAACTTCTCACACAATTCTTATCGTGTCTTTGAAGATAATAAAAGAATTTCAAATGAAAAATGGTACCTGCGCCCAAAATTTAGGCCAACGTACTGATTTTTTTTTTTTTGTTAAAAGTGGATTTTATTAGATTCGAAATATGTGAACCTTCATTTCCTTACTTAAAACCATTTTAGTGTTGTATTTTATCTGAAAGTTCCGAACTTTTTTGATGTATAAAAAAAAATCTTTAGGCATTTTTGTAATTGATGATAATGAATTATGTATAGTGTGACTATGTAAAAAAAGTAATTCTAATGACACTTCTACTTTTTATATATCCAAATATGTTTCTAATTTTTGTAAAAAAGAATATCGCCTTCATCTTCAATATATTTACAAGTGGAAAAGCTTCTCCAAAGAGCTTTAAAGATAGGTGTATCATCAAAAATATAATAAGGACCGAGTACTTTTTCAAGATGATGAGTAGCTTCTTCGGCATGATAATGAGGCATCGTACTAAACATATGATGTGCTACATGAGTTGAAGTAATTTTGTGAAAGATTGAATCGAGAAAACCAATATGACGGTCGACTGCAAGACAAGAAAAAGTTTAGTAACCTGAAACAAAAGGAAAAAAAAAAGAATACCTCTCCCACGAGAACAAACCTGTACAAGTAGCACCACGAATGAAATCCCATTGACTTTCACGATAATGAGGTAACTTGGGATCGGTGTGTTGAAGAAAAGTAATCAAGACAAGCCAATGATTCACGATCAAATAAGGAATTAAATAATATTTGGCCACGCTAAGGAACGAATAAACGTAAGATAGATAAACCATAGCCGATAAAGCAATGATCATACCAATATCGGAGATGATGACGTTAACATAATTTTTAGGATCAAAGATGGGAGAATTAGGGTTAAAGTGATTTGCCCAACGATCACTATAAACTTGTCCGGAAGAATTGAAAATTAAATACATAGGCCAACCGAGTAATTGTTGACCAATTAAATTGAATAAGGTGATGATTGGTGTATCTTCAAATACGGAATGATTCATCTGTTCGGGATCATCAGTAGGCAAAGGCAAACCTAATTTTGATCTGGTTTTAGGTACAAAAACTTGATCCTTAGTCACATGACCAGTATGCTTGTGATGTTTTGAATGGGAAATTCTCCATGAATGATAAGGCACTAATAAGGCCGAATGAAGAACAAAACCAACGGCATTATTGATCGTTTTCGAGGGAGAGAAAGCCTGATGACCACATTCATGAGCAATCACCCAAACTCCTGTTGCGAACGCTCCACAAAAAAACCAATATGTTGGCCAAGCTATGAAACGTAAAGCTAGTGGTAAATGAGAGTCAATATAGGTGGCAGCATAAGCTAAGACCCCAATAACGGCTAAATCTTTTAAAACATAGCTAAATGATTTTAATGTATCTCTTTCAAAACAATGTGGTGGTATCGCTTGACGAAGTTCTTTTATGGTGAAATTCGGTGGTACATAATCACGTTCGAATATTTTTGTGGTTATGGATTGACGATGAGTTAATTGTGATTGAGGTTCTGTATCAGGAGGTGGCATAATTTTGAGGAAATAATTATTCTTATTCTTCTTATTGTTTTTTACTGACAAAGGCGAAAAATGAAATGAAATAAAATAAAATAAAACAAATAAAATTTGAAAGGAAATGGTTACTTTTATAATTTTTTTTTTTAGAAACAATAAGAATAATAAAAAAAAAAAAGATGTAAGGAGTATGAGTACATGATAAAAATCGAATTGATTAATTTCCCAACCCCAAAAGATTCTGCACATCAAAAAAATAACAATTTCCCCAAAAATTGGCAGTTCATTTCTGTTTTGCTTTTTCGAGAAAAAAAAAAAAAAGAGCCTGATTTTTTGAATAGTTAGTTTGTTTGCATAAGCATATGTATTCCACAAACTGTGTTACTATCGAGAAAAACGTGGCATGTAAACATGCGAATAGACACATATCAAAATAATACCAACTTAAAGTTTTGTAAAAGACGATCTGACAATCTTGGACAATATTAAAAAAAGGTACAAATACGTAGATATAACGATAATATTTAAATTTTGACTTGAAATTTTTAAAGCAAACTTGAGTATTTTTAAGGATCGGATCCAGGTTTCTGGGCATAATATTTGTTGTGCAATTTAAATTTAATCACATGTTCACAGCTGAAAATTGACTAATCGAATTTTGATATTCAACGTATATCTAAAGAACGAACGTTTAATTATTATTTTAATCCCATCTCGGAAAGAAGATAAATTCCTTTAATTAGTTAACTTTTTTTATTTTAACAAATAACGTTTCATGATTTATCGGAATATTTATATTGAAAAAATGGATGTTGCACAAGTGTCGGGTGAATGTTTACTAACCAATTTAGTAAATTAAAGGAATAAACTTTAACAATGTTTCACATTGTGACTTTTCAGAGAATGTTGTGTGCGGATGGATTATGGCGAAAAAAAAAAAAAATGGATATTAAAAGAAACCCTCGTCACGTTCGTGTAATTCTAAATTTTTTTTCCTTACCGTAATTTTTTATTTTCCAAAATTAAAAAAGGAAGCAAAATTTTTGATATTTACAATTAAAAGACACAAAAAGTAAACAACATAAATAAATTAAACAGTTCAAATGCTTGCTTATTTAGTTCCTATTTAGTAATTACGATTATCAGAAAGGGAAAAGAGATAAAAACGTAAGATTTTTTTCAAGTTAAATACTTGTGGTAGATTTTATGGTTTTGAATTACTAAAAGTTTTCCTTTTTTTTTGGTTTTTTTTTACTATACTTGTTTTAGTATAGCTAAATTTAATATTCTTTTAAAAAATTTTTTCTTTTGCTATTTTAAAAATTATTTAGCAAATTCGCTTTTTTTTTTCCTGGAAATTTGTTTTTAGTTCAGTTTAATACAATTAAAATGATGAATAAGGTTAAGGCTTCTAAAACTTTTAAGCCTTTAGAATTCCGTAAGTCGGTTTCAAAGGATAAAATATCGACACCAATTGCAATTTCTATGAAAGCTGCCCCCTCAATCCTTCCTCCAAACAAGGTCATAAAAGCATTATTTGATTATGATGCGAATGGACCTCAAGAATTATCATTTGTTAAAGGTGATTTCTTTCATGTTATCAGTAACGATAATGATCCGGATTGGTATGAAGCATGCAATCCTGCAACCAATATGCAAGGTTTGGTTCCTGTTTCATATTTTCAAGTATTAGAAAAAGGTGTAAGAATGAGTGGAGATGTCAAAGCTGAACCTGGTTATTTCGATTCACCATTACATCATCATTTCGGAGGAGGAGGAGGGGGTAAACCTCAACCATTATATGGGATCGTACTTTATGATTTTGCCGCTGAACGTCCTGATGAATTAGATGCAAAAGCGGGAGAACCAATTATCATAATCGCTCAATCGAACCATGAATGGTTCGTTGCTAAACCTATTGGAAGGTTAGGTGGTCCCGGTCTTATTCCTGTTTCTTTTATTGAAATAAGGGATCATGCAACTGGTAAAGCGATAGAGAATGTTCAAGAATTAATGGATAACTCGGTGGTTCCAAAGGTTGAAGAATGGAAAAAGATGACTCAAGATTATGAAGAAAATAGTATCTCCTTGGGTCGTTTAAATTCAAAATTGGTGGATCCCAAACTTGCTCCTGTTAATATAGATCCAAAGTTGGCTCCCATGTCGTTTGAATTTGATTCTCCAATGTCTTTTGATTTTGATAATCAATTCTCTATCAATGCACTTCTTCCCGAAGTTAATAATGATGACGATAATGAGGATTATTATAGGAATGCAGTTGATAATGCATCCGACACTTTACCTATGAGTCCTGAAAATTCTTATTCAAATGAAGAGGAGGATGATGAAGAGAATTTTATTGATATGATATCAGCTTCAGTTGATACGCACTATTTTAAGGATGATAGATATTGGTTTGTGATTAGGGTCAAAACGATTACAGGAAGGTTTAGGTACTTATACAGAGTATATGAAGATTTTTATGAATTTCAAATAGAACTTTTAAATAGGTTTCCAGAAGAAGCAGGACGCACAGGAAAGCAACGCATTTTACCATTTATGCCAGGGCCACTTTCATTCGTTAATGAAAGCATTACATCTCAAAGAAGAATTGATTTAGATGCCTACGTTAAAGAGTTATTATGTTTACCAAGATATATATTATTGAATCCATTAATTAATAATTTGTTTGGATTAAAAAATGATGATGTGGAAACTGATAATCCAAATGATCCGGGAGAGATCGTTACAAATGAAAGAATTTCTCTATCAAGTCTAGACACTTCTCCAATTGATCCGACCCCTCCAATGTCATATTCGAATGCTTTTCATCAACCCAAAAAGCAACCTTCTTCAAATGGAAGTATGAAACATCATAGGGTTTCTTCACTTACCGCCGGAGGTCAATTTATAAAATCATCGCGTGTTCATGATGATACTCCTACAAATTCAAATGATAATTCATATGCAATTTCAACAGCTCCATTAACCCATACAAATACACAAGGATCTTCACATAGATTAGAAGGGTTAAAAATTAAGATAGAGCATCGTGGGGATTTATATGCCATCCTTCTTAGTAAGGATGATATGAATTTTTCAAAATTTCAAAAGAAACTACAAGATCGTTTCGGTGAACTTGATAATTTGAAATATAAAGATAATGGTGAATTTATAAGGTTAAATGATGAAGCTACTTTTAATAAAGCATTAAAATTTGGTACAAAATTGTTACTTTCTTTAGATCAATGATGTTAAAAAGTCAATGGGGAAATAGTAAAATAAATATTTTATGACAAATGTATTATCTTACAGAGGGAAGTAAGGATTTTATTAGGTTATAGAGGTAATATTAATAATGTGGTGGTAATATATTTAACTTTATTTCTTATTTTTTTTTATTCATGTATTGGAACGTGTAGATATTATTACTGATTACATCGCTACATATCATTATGTATACTTCATATGTACATCATCCATTTTTTTAATTTTTTTTTATCACACATTATTATATAGTCTTATATTATATTTTTAAAACACTTTCAAAATTACAATAATTTTATATATATTTATCGAGTTGTATAGATAGACTTATTTATTAATTGTTATTATTATTATCATTAACATAAACATTAACATTAACATTCATTATTATTATTATTATTATTTACTGTTTTATTATCCTGGCAAGAAATTATTCCATTCGAGTTTTTTTTTTTTAAAAAAAAATATATATATATTTGATAACCGAGAATACTTTTAAAATACTTGAATGTTTAAGAAAGTGAGATATTAAACGTTATTATTCGTGTATTGAAAATTTTAATTAAAATAAGTATTAAAATAATTCTTATCCGCCGGATTGTGTACTTGGTAATTTCGTAATGGGATCAACATTTTCATCATTTTTACTAAAATTTTCCTCGACAAATTTATTTTGTTTTGGATCGAAAATTTCTGAAGTAGTATGAGCGGATTCAGCTAAAATAAAAAAATAAAAAATAAAATGTTATTTGATTCAGAAATCAAAAAAAAAAGTCATATTGACAAAAAAAAAAAAAAACTATTTACAAGCAGCAGGAGCTTGACTATCAATTACAGTAGGGGCATCATCCGGATCATGTTCTCGTTCATTACTTTTACTATCATTTTTCTCAATTTCAGCAATAGCTGCATCAAATCCTGGTGGAGGTTCATGTCCCTTACTTGAATAATGATCAATAATAATTCTCCGGTTAATTAATAAATCATTGATATTGGTATTCCTTTTTTTAATTAAATTCGTAGTAATAGATTTTCTTGTATTGATCCAATTAAAATAAAAACTTTGGTAATAATTTTTAACAATCATTTTTTTTTTGAAAAAAGAAATCTCAATTGGGATTTAAAAAAACTTTATTATATTAAAAATATAAGAGATGTGGCGTAAATAATTCGTCATCATAACTACATTCATGACATCACTTCGTTTTCATAATTCCGCCAAATCATATGTTTTAAAAAAAGATACAAAATAATATACTATTTCATTGATAAATACAATTTTTAGGAAAAATTCAATGTCAAAATAATTAAAAAAAAAAAAAAATCGATACCAAAGCTTAAAAATAAAAAAAGCATGCTAACGAGTTTTCTAATGGGGAGGCATAGACTTTTGTTGAAAAATTCTTTTATACAACACCCCTAGAAATATAATATTTTTTGTTAATTATATATATATTTCTCTCCTTTTTTTTTTTTTTTAAAAAAAAAAAAAATAAATAAATAAATGCCAACATTAAATTATTTTATTTATACTGACTGAGGTAATTCGAATTTTTTTCCATGTAATACTCTGTAAATATGTATGATAAAGAAATCATCATCAGTAAAATTATATTTATACATTGATTTCTAAAACACGAACATAAATACTTACTTTGTGTAATAAATATAAAAGAAGTCGCTATATAAAGCAGTTTGGATAGCACCGGCGACCCATGCGATCCAATCAACATGACCTTCAAATACAAATCTCCATAACCAATTCAATAAATACAACGATCTGTATCCTCCTAATGCAAATAAGTAATGTGTAGTAATTGTTTCAGCTTCTCCTGTACGACTCAACATGAATAATTGTGGAAGAATTGCAACTGATTCAAGATAAATCGAAAAAGTCCATAAAATCTTTAAAAGCGATGAAAGAAAAAAAAAAGTTAACTTGAAATCTTTGTCCAAGTAATAAAAAAAAAAAAATTTAACTAAATTTTACCTCCATAAATGTGAAATCATAATTAAAGATAAGAGCCAATAATAAACATCCTCCTAATAAAAATTCTACTCTAAAAGTATCCAACATTGGATCATACGTAGCTCGAAATTTGAGTTTCATTAAATATAAAATGTAGATTGATGACGCAATGAAAAATATTTTCATCAATGCATTATACAATGAAACCCATGATGAAAATAAATCAAGATATCTTGTTATAAATACAACAGCATAAAGCGCTTGAGTTTTAAATGAGATACCTAATAAAATGACAATAAATATATATTGAAAATGAGAAATCATGTTCCTAAATAAATTATTTAAAAACCAAATTTAAACAGAGAATTCGTTTCTAAAATCAAAGATCTAAGCCTCTAGGTAAAATCATATTTCTCATAATAGTATGTTATTCTATCCACTAAATTCTCACGAATTTCCAAAAATAACCTTTTTCCTCCGAGAAATTAAAGAGACGAATAACTTACCAGCACATGATCGCGTCTTTTGAATTTTTAATAATAAAATAAAAATAGAAGCCAAATGCATTAAATCTGCCACAAGCCGAAAAATATTCATTTTTAATATATTAAAACCTTAAGTTGGGCAAAAAAAAGTATTCAGACTTTCAATAAAAAGAGATGTTAAATTCGTATCTAGAAGGCAAAGGTTTGAGTAAAAAAGCCCTTCATTTAAATAAATTCGTAATGATGATGTGTTGCGATTATCCAATAAATTATTAGCAGATTGCATATTATTATTTGACAATACTTTAGATCATCACTTGATAAAAACGCAATTCCCTTTTTGGCCAAAATTAAATGAATCAAAATAATTTTAAAAAAAGTATCAAGTTTATTTTAAAATGGATTTTTTTTATAAAAGCTTTCAATTAACAAATGTTTGTGATCATTCGTCTAGTTGAAAGAATAAACATCAACTATTTTATCAAGATTCAAGATTAACGGGAAAATTTCCTTCTTCTCTTTGAGTATCCCAGTGTGAAATCTTAATAATTAATTATTATCAAATAAAACTGTTAGTTTTCTCAGTTTTCTTTAAAAAATACTTTCTAAAATAATATTTCTAAACGATAATTGAGTAATTTAACTAGTAACTTACATAGTCATTAGGGCATAAACTATGATAAGCTCTAAAGAATTGTTTACAAGGAGCATAATCTTCTCCACGTGCCTTAATACATTTAAAATAATCTACGTAATTTTGCCAACAATGTTTGGTTTGATTGGTATTTGGAAAGCGAGCGTCAAAGCCAGCTATAAAAGATTAAGAATCAAGAAATTATTTAAACAAAATGTTTCTTAAAAAATAAAAATATAACTTTTACGTATTTACCGGTACGAAGGATAAAAGTTTTTGTTTCAGGTTCACTGTACAAATGTAGAAAGTTAATATTACAAATGTCAAGTTATCATTTTTCTTCTTTTATAATACATACCTATCTGACATCGTTTTCAAGTGTTAAATAAAAAAGAGAGAGAAAAAAAGTTGGAACATAACGTACAAACGAATTGCAGGGGTTCAATAGTTTTGGTAATCGGCTTACCATTGGTCTACATTACATCTTAAATGTTCAAGTTTTAGATTAAAAATTTGTTTCTTTCTATTGGATACAAAGTACGCTCACTTTTTCCGACTATATACTATCATTTTTTTTAAAGAAAGAATATAAAAGGTATCATTATAATAAATGAAATGATAATAAATATGGAAATGATCGGAAATACGTACATTAAATGGTCAATCAATTAATTTTTGTATTTCTTCTTCCAGCCATGAAATAAGACCATCTTAATCTATCTAGTCCACTTCTTTCCAAAATTTCAGCAGTTTCTTTGCCTTTGAAATAATAAGCTCATTCTTATTAATCCATTGTTCTTCAAGAAACAATCTCACAAATCACAGCTATGAACCCTTTTTATAGGGAATATTTGAAGAGTTCAAGGTTTCTAATTTTTTCAAAATGTTAATCAACCTAGTTTTTCTTTCCTTGTTTGCCTTACTTTAAGTAATTCTGTTTTAGTGAAATAAATAAATAAACGAATTGGGATGAATGAAAATAATTTTTTGCCATATTTATTTACGAAATTTGTTTATTACCTTTTCCCGAAGCTTCTTAAGAAAATCCAATAATGATGAAATTTGCTAATTACAAATTATATATTTTTTTTGATTTGGAAATTATTTTCGTATACTCTCTTACATCTATTTCTATTTAAAATTTTTTTTATAATAATAAATATTTTAATACTTAATCAATTACAATCTATTTTTTAATTTAAACTTTTTTTTATTATAAATACATATAAAATTCCACTTATTACACTTTGCATTAAAAAATTAGAGTTAATTCACATCTAAATATAAAAAACAAAACCAATATCCAACCAATATCCATTGTTATTAAACAATGTATGTGAATTAAAGAATTTTTGATCTTTAATTTTTTTTTTTCTTATTTTTTTTTTTTTTGATTCTTCGATAATTTTTCTTTTATCAGTTGGCAAATCCAAATTTTACCATAAATAGTGTATGTTAAGATATGTGTATAAAAGACATAAAATCTATAAATCAAACGGTTATCAAAAGCAAATAACAAATATAAATAGACTAATCCAATTGATTAAGACTGAAATCTCACGGATATATGTTAGCTTTCCCAATTGTAAGAAATTGAGTGTTTTGCATTCGCCTAAATATTGACAACAAAAAAAAAAAAAAGAATCGTTCCTCAAATTTGTCCTTTGATATCAACTTTCTCAAACTTTTTGCCACTTGCTTCAATATGTTTGTAAGCGTCTTTAGTGTTTAAAGTGTTATTTGGATTCATGAAAGCAGAAGCATTATGTGTACTAAGAAATTCTTTACATTCTTCATGATCTTTAAATGCTAACTCAGAACTTATAAACTCGAGGTCAAGATTAGGCCGGAAACTATATATTAAAAAAAAAATAATTATTTCAGTATTTAAATCGCTATATATTGGTAAATATTTACTTCATAATATACGTACGCTTTGCATAATACTATTAGAGCGGCTATTCGTTCTCTTTCAACGAAATGATCCATGAGATAAGCTCCCATATTAGGTGCTTTACGGAATAATTTAAAGAACTTATGATAATTGGCAGTAGCCAGAGTAGATCTAACCTCTAATGCATGTTTTATTGATTCATCTCTTTTCATTTCATCTGTTAATTCTGCGATTAAAGTATTTATATCTAATTTTTTTTATAAAGATTATAAACTTATGAATACATACTCGTTAAAACAATTGAAACGCAACATTATATATAATTTTTTACCAGAACGGTTTCTTGTATATAGAAAGTATAGGAGTCGATAAGCCATAAACTCCATAACGTGACCTGGAATATTTAACCTATAAAGTTCCTTTAGTTGCGTTTGACATTGATTATACTCACCCAAATCGCCCTATATTATTAGCCAGATAATAATTAGAATAATAATTGAAAAAAAATTTGTAATATAAAATATTAAATATCAACCTTCTCAAGCGCTATACGAGCATGAGTCTCGTAAACTCTTACAGTAAACTCATCTTGGATACGTTGAACCTTGGATATATTATAAATATTTATTAAAGATGATATAAAATTAAACAGTAAAGAAGGTTAACCAACCGTTAAGTCCTGTCGTAAAGATTTGAACTGATCACATATATAAGTATAATTCTCTTCTCTGACCCATCTTTCTTTTAAAAATTCTAGAGTCTTCTTCAATATGCGTTTAGGCCTAACAGTAGATGGATCAGGAGCCTAAAATCGGCATATAATTAAAGTTAGTAGAATAAACTGAAAATGATAGAAAAGAAAATTTCTGTGAGATAAGACCAAATAACTGTACACACAGAAGTCAATCTTAAATATGATTTTTCAAGATTCTGACAGGTTCCAACAATGGTATAATCCAAATCGGTAATCATAGGATCGTTTTCCTATAAAATATATAGGATAAAATAAGTATTAAATTTTATTATAATTATTATTATTATTACTTTTGAATGAAAACGCATAAAACATACTGCGGAAGGAGATCCCCAAGATTTAATATTCTTATCAATTTGAAAACGTTTGGCACGTTTTTCTCTCTTTTGAAATTCACGATCATTTTCAACCAAACTTCTCTCCGGAGAGCGACTAGAAGATTTAAAGCTAAAAAAGTTAAAATTAGACGTTCATGAAATTACATATTCGTAAAATACTTTACTAATTAAAAAGTCTCAATAAAAATTTCATATGCTTACAATCTTCGTTTATTATCCTTTTCTTTAGTTACGCTGTCAATAACCAATTATTAGTGTGTAATATTTTAATATAATAAAATTAATAATACATACCTGCAACTTTTCGGTAATTCTACTTTTGTCCAATCAGTTTGATAAAACTCGCCTTCTGATAATTTAGTCGTAATTATTCTTTTTAATTCATTCTCAATTGCATCAATGTTGTGTGGTGCAGCATTGAAACTTCTCTGAACATAATCTCTGTTAAAGAATTATAATGTTATTGATAAATAAATATATTCCAAATAAAAGAAAAAAAAATTTGAAATAAATGTTTACTTCAAACTTTCAGGCCATTCTCTACTCTCCGGTTGTTTCCTATATATTGACGAAAGAATTTTAAAAGAAACGTTTATTTTACATATAATATTTCTATTGTACTAAGATCATTAAATAACGTACTCTGATGGATTTTGTGTTGAAGGTTCTGATTTCGGACTTAGCAACGGATTAATCTTGGTAGAAGATTTATTTGTATTCCCTCTTGGCAATTTTATTGAACGGTATAATGGTTCTACAATAATTAAAAATTTTAAAAAAAGTTTTACCACATTAATATAGAGATATCCAACTTTGTTTTTTATAAGCCCAATTATTTACTTGATTTTGCATCTTCGGTTCCTGTAATATTATTATTGGGATTTACGTTCAAGTTTGCTATTCCAGAAGCAGTCTGTTGAACGTCGTTTGTATTCGGCTTTTCACCTTGACTAACATTATTAGTGGTAGTCTTGTTTGTGGTGGGAATTATTTCGGCAATGGGTGCAGCACTATATAATGATGATAATATTAGATCAGCAAAGATCGATTAATTATAAAAAAAAAAAAAATAAAAGTATACGCACGATGATTGAGTTGTTATCGGATTAGCGGTAACAGGAGGTACGGAAACTGTTGAGAAAGTAGGATACGAAGCTGCTTGAACCTGATAATTTGAGTATGATTGCGCTTGATAATATTGATTAGGATCGTATGAAGCTGTAGGATAAATGTTAGTTTGATAAGGTACGGGAGCAGATAATGCTGCTGAAGAATACCACGAAGTGTTTGCATTTACACCTGGTGGATTAGGCTGAAAAGCTGAAGGGTTTGGTTGTGGTGTTACCCCTGGAGGACCAAACACTGTAGAAACATTAACCGTGTTTGTATAAGCGTTAACAGGTGTGCTAGAATATTGATATTGGGTTTGATACTGAACAAAAGGTTGAGAAGCAGCTGCAGCAGAGTAATAGTTAGAGTAATCTGCTGTTTGTGTTCCAGGAGGTGCCAAATATTGTTGCTGACTTTGATCATAGGGATAAGGCCTAAAAGAACAAGAGTTAATTAAGTGAAAAAAAAAATGATACGAATTTGTTATAAAATCTTTACCATGGTTGGGTAAACTGTGGATTTTCTCCCATTTTAATAGCTGACAAAAGACCAAAAAAATAAAAATAAAAACAATAAAATAAAATATAAACTTTTTTATTTGCGTTGACTATAAGTTCCTGAGAAATAAAAATAAGAATAAGAATTCACTATACAATGAATTTTTAGTGCGAGATGAAAAAAAAAAAGCTTTTTTATGGTCAATAGTCAGATAGACCAATGAGACAATTTATATTGTACATTTGTACGACAGGATCATGAGCCGATCACAAAATTAAATAATTTATACAATTTTTTTTTTTTTTTTTTTTTTTACATTCACTTAAAATTCAACTAGTTTAAAAATCCCGTATACGTTCCAGTCCAAGTTGATAGTTCGACATAATCTTCAGATGCCGGCTCTGTTGATTATTTAAAATTTTCAACGTAAGAAAATAAGAAAATTAAGAGAATTAAAATGAATAATGACATACCTAACCAAAGACGTTGCTGTTCCTTAGTGAGTGAAATTGGAGGGAATTGAAACGTCTCTTGTTGAGAATAATCTATAGGCTCTACTTGATAATAGTTTAGTGCAAAGTCCATAGTCTCTTGCTGAATATAATCGAAACTTTCCAGTTGTGCACACATCTCCTCATCATCTGAATCATAGAATTCAGAATCATGTCCCGAATCAAACGTATCGAAACTGTATATTTTAAGCCGACTTTGAGATTGTGTGAAACTCTCTGTTCTTTGTGACGACGAGAATGTATCAACAGGCGAAGCAATTTCAGAATCCAATTGTTCATCCCGAGTTACAAATAATTCTCTTTTAGAATATGAATCATCGTTGTTAAAAGCTTCGGATATTTCTTCCATATTTGTCACGTTTCCAGATGACTCCTCATAACAAGAGATCTCATTAGATTCTGATTCTGAACATTTGGAACTTTCATTTGATGCTTCTAAGATCATCTTTATTAAATTTATATTATCAGTTTTATCGCTAGTTTTATTATTTCTTTTCCTTATAGAATCTCCCTTTTCAAAATTATCATCTTCATACAAATTTGGATCTGGTTGCCAAACGGTATCATCATCTGCGTCTTCTTGTGTAAATTTCGAAGTGTGTAAATTTGATAAAGTTCCAACATAACGTATAGTACCTTTTTGCAAGATTCCTCTATCAACAACAACCTCTTCGGTTGCCAAGTCTATCACATCCGTTTCTTCGGCTGAAATGTCTTTATATCGTTTAATAATATTGGCCCAGGCTGCCTTTAAACGACATTGACTTTGATACAGACAATAATCGGCTGACCCTTGCGATTTAACTTCCACAGAAGAACCTATGGTTAACTTTGCTTTATTGAACTTTGTCGATACATTTTTATTATCCTTTTTAATCACGTTTTTTTTTTGCTTTTTTGAATGAAACATCTTGGTTATGTTTAGTTTTCCGTGAAAAAAAAATATTATCAATATGATCAATACGCGAGATAAAATTGCTAGTAAAGTAGAACGTGCAGTGTCGATGATCTCAATTTATCAAAATCTGCCCCTAAAAACTGCTTATTTAATCCAATTTATTTTTAGACTAACATTAATTGCCAAAATTATATTGATATAAAATTTTTCTTTTTTAAAGAAATAATAATATTAAAATAAAAAAAAAAAAGTCTTGAATATTATAATTGTTTTTTAAAAAAATAAAAAATTAACATACTGTATAAAATTAAAATAAGGTTAATAAGGTTAAATATATAATTTTTCTTTTTTTTTAGATATATATTATATTACAAATAAATATATGAATAATAAATAATTAACTATTTTTATTAGATTTTATTTTAGAATTTGAATTATTTGAAATATTTAAAATTAGATTTAAATTTGATAAATTCAGTTAAATCTAAATCTAATCTAAATCTAATAGATTCTAATTAAATTTGTTATAAATTTAATAAATTTAAATTTGATTTAATTAAATTTGATATTAACGTTAATATATAATAAAAAACTACTAATTAACTTTTGATATATATAATAGATTGTTATTATTAAAAATTAAAAATATCATCTTTGATTGCAAAAAAAGTATTTTATTATTATTATTAATTAAAATAAAAACTTAAAAGATCTTATATATCATATAAAAAAAAATTATAATGTAAAGTTAAAGTTATATAAAAAAGATTTATAATAAAATAATTAAAACTTTTAATAAATAAAATTAAATTGATTTATAAATCAAAAATTTTTAGAACAAATAATTATATTAGTTATTATTTTTATAATATAATTATAAATCTATTATAAAACAAATATTTAATAATAATAGTTATTTATAATATATAAAATAATTTTTATTATTAATATCATAATAAATATTATTATTAATATATAAAATTATACAGTCCAGTATTTGGAATTTCTGAATATAAAAATGATCATTAATAATTAACATTTTAGAAAACTAATCAACATTCAATAATACAGAATTTTATTAGCTATAAATTATTATATACAGTAGCGGTCATAAGTATCCGACCGCCCGAGATCGTCCAAAATTATTATATAACTACCCCTTAAATTTTCC